ACAGTGATGCAAAAAACATATTTTTGTGTACCTATGCATTAAATTTCTGGAAGCACAACTGGTGATCAGTATTTTGTGGGATTTTTGACAGATAATGTCAAATTATACTCCTAAATATTTGCATCAATTCATATACCAAACAAATTAATTTCTAATATAGTATTGTGCCAAATTTTTTGTCATTTTCAATCCAATAGGTCAAAAAATGTTTTATTTTTTTCTGTATCTTATCATGAGGAAGTTTAGCAGATTTTATTATCTGTTTAAAAATTCTTTTCTGGGTCAGATGTTTAGCCTAGTAGTTAAGATGCCAATTCCTACATCATTGATAACCAGCTCTGGATCCGGACTCTATCTTCCGGCTAAAGCAGAAACTGGGAGATATCTGTGGTTACCCAAGTAATTGCATTATTTTCACCTTTCTGAGAGACCTGGATTGATTCCCAGCTCCTAGCTTTGGCCCAGGCCCAGCCTCAGTCACTTTGAGCATCTGGGAAGTGAATCAGCAGGTAAGAACTGTTTCTCCATCTCTCTAATAAATAAAAATTTTAAGAGGTCATTTGTATCTCATTTTTGTGACCTGCCTATTTGTCATTTGTCCATTTCTCTGGTTGTGGGTTTTTACTTGTTTATTTGATAGGAAGAGACAGAAAGAAGAGAGAGAGGAGAGAGAGCGCGCACGAGAGAGAAATCCCATCCATTGGTTCATCCACCAAATGCCTACATAATGGCCAGGTCCAGAGCCAAGAGCCAAGAATGTAATCCTGGTCTTCCACACCAGTGGCAAGAACCCAATTACTTTAGCCATCACTGCTCTCTCCCAGGGTCTGCATTGGAGAGAGTTAGGAGCCAGAGCCAGTAACCAAATCAAAGAAATCGGATGTGGGACATAGGCATTTGAACTGCTAGGCTAAATGTTCATTCTCTTCCTCTCTGTGTGTGTGTGTGTGTGTGTGTGTGTGTGTATTCTTCATATGATGACTTATTAAAACCTTAGGTGAATATTCATTTTTTAAAATGTGCCATTAGGTGTGGTTCTGTGGCTCAGATGGTCAAATTCCAGCCTGGGATGTTCACATCCCATTGGAGTGCTTGGAATCCAGGCCACCTCTGCCTCTGCTTCCTGTCCAGCTTCCTAATAATATGTCTTGGAGGCTGTAGGTGATGGCTCCAGTCCCTGTCACACATGTGAGAGACCCATATGAAATTCCTGGCTTCTGGCTTCAACCCGGCTCAGCCCCAGCTCTCGTGGGCATTTGGGAAGTGAACTGGTGTGTGGAAGCTCTTTCTCTTTGTCTCTTTCCCCCAGTTGCTCTGCCTTTCAAACAAATAAAACTGAATACAAAAACATAAAATCTGCCGCTTGCCCTGTGTTTTTGCCATGCAATTAAACATTTTTATAATCTATTTTCCATATCTTCCTTTTTAAAGGAAAGCATATGTACCTACATATGTACATGCTGCAAAGGTGAAGTTTAGTACAATGCTTGTGAAATATGCGTATGAACATTCCCATATTTTCTGCTTATAAAGAAAATTAACGGGTTATGAAATCTTCCCCGTAAAATTTTTCACTTCTGTACCTACGATGAACATCATAACCATCAATATAAAGGAAGGAGGAAAAGTAAGGGATTTTCCAAAGAAATCAAAAGAGGACATTCAAAGAGAAAGAAAAAAACGACAACACTATGGAATGCATTATGGAAGATAAAATATTTCTTTCATAGGAATTACAATTCATCTATCCAGGATGAAAATTCTGTACAAATTACTAATCACAAGCTTTATCAGGAACTTTATTTTTCTTATTATAGTGAAACCACTTTTTCCTTGTAAATATACATTATTATTAGTATTCTATAGTATTAATTATTAGTAATCTATAGTATTATAGAAATATGGAATCAGGAATTCAGTCTATATACCAAATTATTATTTATAATAACATTATGCCTTGGTACATATGTAGATGTATACATGCGTACTGTATGAACTTGTTTTCATTCCTATTTAATTTACAATACATGTTGTATCCATGTTGCACTCTTTCAACCTCTTCATGTCTTTAACAATATATTATTCCCCTCTAAATGCACTATAAATTATATAACTAAATCTCATTAGCTGGTTGTAAAATTGTGTGCATATTTTCTAGATTACACACTGTACTACAATAGACATCTCTGACACAGATTTTTATTTGTCAATTTGGTGTTACGTCTTGTGGGGTAAATTCCAATAAGAAATGATCATTTGAAAATTTCAATAGCTGTTAAGAAAAGTTGTATCAATTCCGATTTCCAACAAGTTTGTAAAAGTACATTTCCTTCATCGAATTATCAACACTGAGTAGTATCACAGTTTCAAAATTAGTAAAGCATGCAAAAATTTCTCTCTTTAACTGCATTGTTTAGATAATTAGTTTGGCTGAAGCTCTTCATTATGATTATAATTTGCATTTTTTTGCTTTGATGGACTATCCTCAATGAGTTTGCTGATTTTAAAGGTCATTCAGAGTTCTCGGCATATTATCCAAATTATCTTTTTCTATTAGCAATATTCTTTTGTTTTGTATCTATTTTGGCATGCAAATATTCATAAAAATCATGTCCCTACATGGGTTTTTATTTTTTTAAGATTTATTTAATTATTTGAAAGGCAGAGCAGCAGATAGAGGAGAAGACAGAGGAGAAACAGAGCGATGTGCCAGCCACTGGTTCACTACCCAAAAGGCTGCAACAGCAAGTTTTGCAGCAGGCTGAAGCCTGGAGCCAGGAACTCCATCCTCGTCTCATATTGGTGGCAGGCACCCAAGGACTCGGTACCTTTTCTGCTGCTTTCCCAAGCCCACTAGCAGGAAGCTGGCTCCCAAGTGGAGGACCCAGGTTTCCAACTGGCAATACGGGATGCCGTAGTGAGCAGTGGCCTCACCTGCTGATTACAATGTCAGCCCTCTCCAGGTTTCTGTATATGCTTAGAAATGCTTTTCTCACATTTCATGCGCACAAATATACATTCAGGTTTTTACTTTTAGTTTTTTTTTCTTTTTCTTTTTATTTATTTATTTGACAGGTAGAGTTACAGTGAGAGAGAGAGAAAGGTCTTTCTTCCGTTGGTTCACCCCACAAATGGCCGCTACAGCTGCCGCTGCGCAGATCCTAAGCCAGGAGCCAGGTGCTTCCTCTTGGTCTCCCATGCGGATGCAGGGCCCAAGCACTTGGGCCATCCTCCACTGCCCTCCCGGGCCACAGCAGAGAGCTGGACTGGAAGAGGAGCAACTGGGACCAGAACCCGTGCCCATATGGGATGCTGGCGCCACAGGCGGAGGATTAGCCAAGTGAGCCACAGCGCCAGGCCCTATTTTTAGTTTTCATATATATAATTAGTATAAGTGGGCCATCCATACTACATATGTGCACTGAGAGTAATGAATTCCATATTTGTTATTAGTTTTCCAAATAAATATCTGGCTGTACAAGAAAGATCAATTAATTTCTCCTCCATGATCATATTTTGAGTGTCTATCAAGTTGAGTTTTTCTTTTACTCTTAAACGGGCTCTTCAGTTTGATTAATGTGTTTAGTAGTCATCTCTTCCATTGTCTTAATCATTATAGCTTTAAAGTATGTTTTATGACATAGTGAAGTTTCCATATACACACACACATAAATGCACACACATTTTAATTGATATTTATCTGGATATTTAACTGGATATTCAGTTAGGATTCTATTTAATTTATATGTGATTTTATATTTACCTAGATTAATGCCATGCATTTTATTGGATTCATATATGTATACATTTAAAATATTTACATTTATTACATTTTTACATTGTTTTAAAAATGGATTTTTACAATTTTGCATTTTCCTGCCAATTTGAAGTTCATTTTGTTTTACTGTATTTTTTTAGTTTATGTACAGGACACCAATTGATTGACTTCTATAAATTAAGTAAAACGCAACTGGAAACTTTGCTAAACTCTCCTTTCTGTGAGCTTTGTGGTTGTGTCCTGGGGGACAACTCATTATTGGTAAACAGACAGATAATCTTTGTCTTCTTTTCCCATCTGAATGTGTTCTTCCGCATGATGTTACTGGCCGGTAACAATTCACAATAAAGTTACAGACTGATGCTAAGCCTCCTTATCTTTTAAGGAGCATGGAAGGATGCTTGAGCGTCATGCCTAACCCTGAGAGCAGACAGCTAAATGGAGGTTATCTATCATCTATCTATATCTACCCATCTCTATTATAGTAGCATGAATATAAGACAATCAACAGCTCTTTAAAAAGTTCATTAACCACCTTTACTGTATAATACCTTAATCACCACTAATTTTGGTGGCTCCACTTTTAAATAGCTAACATAAAATTTAAAATAACTAAATTGCAGATCTTAAAAGACGATAAACAGGCCATAAAATAAAAGAAGATGTCTTGAAATACGTTTTATTTTTTTATAAACAGGACACGTGCTCCTCCTCCCCTTACAAATAAATTACGTTTCCCTGTTTGCTCAGATGGACCCCCACCTGGCCAAATCTGTGCAGAAGTTGTAACCCGTTTTTACCTGCGAGTGTGGCCGGGCCCAACGCAGTGAGAGGCGCCAAGGGGAGCCAGTCAGGCGGGACGAGACCCACGAGACAGAAACGCGTGGGCAGCCAGGGCAGCGGGGCGAAGGGCTCCCGCCTGCGCCAGAGCGCCCGTCACCTCAGGCTGGGGGAGCCTCGCCCGCGGACAGCCTGCACCAGGGCCTCTACCGCCACCTTCACCTCCAGGGCGGGCCACCACCAGCCCAGGGCTGGAAACCGCTCACTGCCAGCAAACGCGCCACGATCCCTCCGTCGGCCGCCCTGTAACTTCCACAACCACCTGAGGATGCCCGGCCGTGCGGAGCCGGCCTGGGACTGCGCGCCCAGGACGCTGCGGTGCCGCCCGCGCTCCCCGCGACCACCACGCCGAGGTCTCGGCCACCTGGCCCGCCACACTCACCGCCCTCCCGATGCGCACCAGCTACGCCAGACGCGGAGTCCCAGTGTTATCCGCGGAGGAAAGGGAGAGATGAGAAAGCGGGGAAGGCGGACGGAAGAGGAGGATTTTCCAAATTAAAACCAGAGTGTGCGCGCGGAGGGGCGGGCGAGGCGCGGGGCGCAGGGGCGCGGCCCTGGCTCGCCTGCACACTCCCCCGCGTAGCGCCCGGCTGCTCCGGACTCGGAACCCGGTACCCGGCGGCGCTGGGACAGCGGCTGCCTGAGAGTGCGGGGTCCTGGAAGGGGTGGGGCGGCTGAAAGCGAAATCTCGGGAAGGAAGTGCAGAGGAAAACAAGTCGCAGCTAACGCCAGGTGGAAGAGAAAGATAAGGGCCAGCCCACCCTCGCCTGCAGCCACCGGGGTGGGGGTGGGGGGGGGAGGTTCTAGAACCCAGCAGAGCTCTGCTAACCGCGCCGTGGGCCTTGGAGGGACCAGAAAGCGCTCTTACGCAACAGCCTTTTACTTTGCCTTTGCTCCCACCCCAGACCCTTGGCTTGGAAAGTTGGCCTTGGCGATGAAGTGCTGGCTGGAAACACTGGGCAAGGGGCCCAGGCGTTTTGTTTTCTTTTCCACAGGATCGGGGGAGGCCAATTCGATGCGGGAGTGAGGGAGGGTGGGAGCGACGCCAGGAAAAGGGGAGTGAAAGGCAAGGTTGCTGGTGTTTTCTGACGTTGAGAGGAAAATGCGCACTGTTGGTTTTTCTCGGTAGGCACAAATACTTCGTTCATAATAGTGGGATTCAAGTAGGACGAACAAAACCCTAGCAGGAAGTGGGAGAACCTTAATGTCCTCTGACCTTTTAAAGACTCAGAACTGGAGAGAAGTAACTCTGATTAAGCCCAGAAGAGGACTTGGTACTGCTCCACTGGGGGAAAAGTTTGAGTAGGAGAATGTGGGATGGAGTTGTAGAATTTTCCATTTCCACGTGTTTGCATACTGTTTGTATTTGTGTGAGAATAGATTTAAAATTAGTATTGTATTTCTCTGTCATAATTGACTTAGACATGTCTCAAATGCAGAAATAGCATTTAATTGAAAACATAAAACAGAGAAACCGATGCCAAGCCAGAGCAAAATATAGTAGTATGTATTCACATTGTTTTAAAGGCTTGAGAGAGACAAAGAAAATTAAACTTATGAACTTGAGCGTCTAATGTGGTCACAAGAATCAAGAGCAAAATCAGGCTTGTGAAGATGGACAGATCATGGAAGCCGTATCATAGACTCCAAATCACAGGTTTTGACAGGAAGAGGAATGATCCAAACCCATATCTTTCCGAAATTGCTGACATGACCTTCCTACTTTAATACTTCCGGGATGGTGCCGTCACTGCTTTTGATACTAACCCTATTTCAGTGTCTCTATTACTCTTCAGCGATATCTTTGTATGAGTTCCTTTTCACTGGTTGCTCTTATGTTGTCAGAAAGACCACGGTACCACCAAAGATAAACTAAGAAATTTGCAACAGCACTTTTTACTTCCTCAATCTTCTAAGCCATTGTTGTTTTTTTAAAAATACACATGTAAATTATATGCTATTCAAGAAAATGTAATCAGTGTTGCTTAAGCAGTCAGTTGTTTTTTCCTGAAATTAAAATAAGACTATATGATACTTTTTTCACAGTCGTTCGACACTCAACAGTGAGGACATATTTTTAGAAATGTGCAAGTGTGGTAGGCTATACTTGCATGCACTTGTGTAGTATGATACACAGCTGGGCTCTATGTTATAGCCAGTTGCTCCAAGATTACCAAGGTGTACAGCGGGTTACAGAACTGATTAATGTAAGCAATTGTAACACAATATTTGTGTAGCTTAACATTTACATATAGAAAGGGTACAGTAAAATATGATACAATGATAAAAAATATAGCACATCTGTGCAGTGTTGGAGATTTCTCGGTGAGTCCCTGAGTGAGTGGTGAGTAGTAAGGCCTGAACAACCCCGTGTACATTTAAGATACATTTATTTTAAAAGTTTTTTTTTAAATTATTTTATTTATTTGAAAGGCAGAGTTACAAGGACGTTGGAGAGGGTAGAGAGGTCTTCTGTCAGCTTGTTCACTCCCAAAATTACCACAGTAGCCGAGGCTGAGCCAGGTAGAAGCCAGGAGCCTGAAACTTCTTCCAGGTCTCATACGTGGGTGTAGGGGCCCAAGCAGTTGGGCCATCCTCCACTGCTTTCCCAGGCACATTAGCAGGGAGCTGGATCAAAAGTGAGCAGCCAGGACTCGAACCAACGCCCATAAGGGATGCTGGTATCCTAGGCGGTGGCTTTACCCGCTATGACACAATATCAGCCCCACTTTAAAAGTTTTATTTCTGGAGCCAGAGCCGGCGCTGTGGCACAGCAGGTGAAGCAGCCACCTGCAGTGTAGGCATCCCATATGGGCTCTGGTTTGAGGCCAGGCTGCTCTACTTCCAATCTAGCTCTCTGCTATGGCTTGAGAAAACAGTCCTTGGGCCCTTGCACCTGTGTAGGCCAGGAAGAAACTCCTGGCTTCTGGCTCCTGGCTCCTGCCTTTGGATTGGCCCAGCTTTGGCCATTGTGGCGATCTGGGGAGTGAAGCAGCAGATGGAAGACTTATGTCTGCCTCTGCCTCTCTCGGTAACTCTGCCTTTCAAGTAAATAAATAAATCTTTAAAAAAAAGTTTTATTTCTTCAATAATAAATTAATCTTAGCCTACTGTAAAATTTTTGCTTTATAAACTTTTTCATTGTTTTTTAACTTTTGACTTACTTGTATTAACTAAGCTTAAAGCACACTATATAATTGTTCAATCTATTTTCTTTGTTAGATTTTTTCTACTTTTTAATTTATTTGTTTATTTATTTTTTACTACTTGAAAGTGTTTGCTAAAAATCAAAGCATACATAGTAGGCTAAGCCTCGGTCTGCAGTGCCGGCATCTCATATGGCCGCCAGTTTGAGTCCCAGCTGCTCCTCTTTTGATCCAACTCTCTGCTTACAGCCTGAGAAAGCAGCGGAGGATGGCCCAAGTGCTTGGGACCCTGCACCCACATGGGACTAGACCCCGAAGGAGCTCCTAGCTCCTGGCTTCCTGTCTGCCTAGCTCCAACCACTGCGGCCTTTGGGAAGTGAACCAACGAATGGAAAAGCTTTCTCTCTGTCTCTTTGTCTCTCTCTCTTTCTGTGTGCCTGTAACTCTACCTCTCAAATAAATAAATCAGTCTTTGAAAAACAACAGCAACAACAACAGAACTAAAACACAGATGTACTTATTAGCCTAGGCTTACACAGAGTCTGGATAACCAATGTCCTGTCTTCTCCCTCTGTTACCACACTGGGAGGTCTTCAAGGGCAGTTACGCACATGGAGCTGTCGTTGCCTGTGATAACGGTGCCTTTTTTTCTGGAATGTCTTTTGAAAGCCCTGTGTGTCTCTTCCAAGAGGTAGCAAGCTTTCGGAAACTGGTCTATTGTGGGGCTTGCTTTGTTTCTTTTTTAATCATGGACTTTTTTTTGTAAGCAGATAATGCACCATGAGCATTCCTCTCTATTAATGAAAACCATGTTTTCAAACTTTTAAGGAACTTATTGAAGTCTATAAAAGATTCTGATGAACTTTGGTGAATTTTCTTGGAGTTTTTTTTTTTTTTTCAACAGTTTCCCTTTCTCTTGCTTCTTCAGGTTTGTGTGTATTCACTAGGTGATTGGAACTCATCGATTTCCTTATAAATTATGGACCCACCATCATATTTGCAGTCTTGTTGACTGGAACCTGCCTATGTGGGTCATTATTGCATTTACCTTATATACACACAGCTTCATGTGTCCCTCATTTTTTCTTGTAGACCTGAGTTCTGTCGATGGTTGTGACTCTTCAGCTGGAGACTTTCGTTTAGTATTTCTTGTAGTGAAGAAGAGCTGCAGGGAAAATTTTTGCAGCTTTTTTGAAATCAGAAAATATTATTATCTTATTTTCATTCAAAATAACTATCTCCAATGTGTGTCAAATTCTTGGTGGACATTTTTCTTTTATTCTCCAATAACTTTGACCTTTGCTTTTATTTGGTGAAACTATATTATTGGTTTCAATTTTAACTTCTTTTTGTAGGCATTTTTTTTTTTTTTTTTGACAGGCAGAGTGGACAGTGAGAGAGAGAGACAGAGAGAAAGGTCTTCCTTTGCCGTTGGTTCACCCTCCAATGGCCGCCGCGGCTGGCGCGCTGCGGCCGGCGCACCGCGCTGATCCGATGGCAGGAGCCAGGAGCCAGGTGCTTTTCCTGGTCTCCCATGGGGTGCAGGGCCCAAGCACCTGGGCCATCCTCCACTGCACTCCCAGGCCACAGCAGAGAGCTGGCCTGGAAGAGGGGCAACCGGGACAGAATCCGGCGCCCCAACCGGGACTAGAACCCGGTGTGCCGGCGCCGCTAGGCGGAGGATTAGCCTAGTGAGCCGCAGCGCCGGCCCTCAATTTTAACTTCTTTTTAAAAAGATTTTTTTATTCATTTGAAATTCAGAGCTACAGAGAGAAGAAAGAGAGAGAAAGATCTTCCATCCACTGACTAACTCCCCAGATGGCCTCAACATCCAGGGCTGGGCCAAGCTGAAGCCAGGAGCCAAGAGCTTCTTCTGGGTCTCCTTTGTGGGTAATAGGGGTTCAAGGACTTGGGCCATCTTCTGCCTTACCAGGCCACTAGCAGGAAGATGAATTAGAAATGAAGTAGCTGGGTTGTGATTCGTTGCCCATATGGGATGCCAGTATCACAGGTGGTGACTTTACCTGCTATGCCACAACTCTGGCCCCTCAATATTAATTTTTTTAAAAAAATTATTAATTTATGTAAAGGGAGCAAATTTCATGTATTTCATGTATGCAGTTGAGGGATCATGGTGATACTTCCCCTGCTACCCTCCCTCCTTCACTCATTACCTCACTACTAGAGGAATTAATATTTGGTAGATGAGCTTTTATTCCCTGACCTCAGTTATTCATGTATAGTAAGTTCTCTGGTTAAGGGTAAGCAAAATAGAATTGATTGAATTTTTTAGCCAAAAAAATGCACAGAAGTAAGAAGTAATAGCAACCTTAAATTGGGAGTGGATAGAGTAGAGCATAGTGGGAGAGAGGCTTTTCCTAG